TTTTTTTTTCATTTTTCTTATTTTTCAAGGTAAACAATTAAGAACCCTCAATAATTGTCAACTTTTAAATAGCCTAGAATTAACCTATTTTTTTTTTTTTTGGAGAGATTTTCACTGTAGGGCGCGTGCGCTCACCAGACAGAGAGAGACATAGAGACAGAAAGCGAGAAATCACCCCCCAGGGGGGATGGTCACGCCGCAATCCCTTCTCCTCCATCTCCTCTCAGGATCTTGAGCATGCACACACACGCGCCCGGTGTGAGTTTTAAGCCACCGGGTCCGGGACACGAACCGCGGTCGACTACGTGGGAGTCCAGCGACATAGCCATTATGCTAACTGCTGGTTCCCTGTTTTTTTAATAATTATAAAACTTACTTTGCATAGTTTCCCCAGTGAGTGTTGTATTTTTGAGATACTTATCAATCCTTTTATAGAAAAGCAGTTTCTGAACTATTCTTGAATAACTCAATCCAAGACCTAAAAAGAGTGAGAAGGAAAGCTTCCCCCAGGTTGTAAATTATTGTAAAGGAAATTACTCACTTTAATCACTCATGAATCTAGGCTTTAAAGCATAATAACACAAACAGCATACCCATAACCCCTTAATTCTTCCAGCCTATGCAGTAAGCACATTTTGGTGAATACGACCGCTAAGAAATACAACCAATGAGGCTAAAAGGAAACAACAAAAACTTTTCCAGTGTTTTTGAAAAAGAATACTGTTATACCTGTGTTTTATTATAAATAAACAGGTTCTGTCATATTTTATCTTCTTGCCAGCAAATGAAGGACATTGTTTCATAAAGCTTCTAAAATGTACATGAATATTTAATTAAATCCTATTTCCTTGAGAAAATAAAGTTCATTCGCATTTATAGCAGACAGTTGTGAGGAGCTCATAATTGTCATAAGACCAGGGTAGCCAGTACCGGTTGCTTGTGGAACAAAACTCCTCGATTTTTAAAACTTTTCTTTTTTTAAAAAATAAACATACAATCATAGGTGTTCATTTACTTTTAAAAATTCTAAAGATGAAGAAAATTATTGTTTATATATTTAAGTCCTTGTATAAATTACAAAACTCAAGTTTATGTTACAGAGTCCCTTCCCCATAGGAAGCATAAAGCACTTTTGTGGTACCTTTCACCAGTAAATATTTGTATCACATTGAATTTGACAAACAAAATAAAAGTCGATATTGCATCTTTAAGCCTCAAGAGAACATTCTTCTAAGCTGTCTCTCATGATAAATGAGCTTCAAAAGTCATTTGATTGCCTTGATGTCACTCAGTCTCAAATAAAATTATATAAAAGTAACACACATGTTGACTTCAGTAGAAATCTGAAATATCAGTGAACTGCAGACTCTTCTTGCTTGAGGTCAACAAACACCCTTTGGAAGACAACCAAGAGTAGTTTAAGACCAGGACAAAAAAATAAAATTATAACAATAACAATAATAATAATAACAATAATAAAAATAATAATAAAATTAAAATAACCAACAATGAGGTAAACTCCCCTTAAAAAAGGCAATGTGTGTTGCCTGGACTGTCAGGAGAGAGTTCGATTGTACCTGACACCCAAATGTTTTTCTAGCCAGAGTTCAGCCAATTGCATGGTTGAGGCAAAAGTACTTGCCTTGGATCCTAAGCACATCTTATACTGCTTAGGGTCCAAGTTAGGATCACAATGAACTGGATGGAAAATATGTACCACTCCTACTTCTTGACTTCTGAAGGGCCTTAAGCCAGATAGAATAACCTTGTTGTAGAGATCTACATCTTCCAGTCCCCAGCCTTGAATTGAGGTATCAAATCCACCTGCACTCAGAAGATCACTTTTGTAAATACAGGTTATTCCATATCCATAGTCTCTCCAAAATCCAGTCTTCTTTGAAAATACAAAGTCATCATCCATGGGAGGATTTCCCCCATTGGTCACCTTTGGGTCATACTGGCTAAAGATAATAGGATAATACACCTGTTGTCCCTGAATTGTATTGTCTCTGCATCGTTGGAGAAAGTCTTCTCTGAAGATCAAGTCAACATCACAAAATAGCAGCAAAGTATCATTGTCAAATTGGGAGGAAGCCATTTCAAGACCAAGACCTCTGGAAAACTCTCCCTTCATAGGAATCAGGGTCAATTCTGCATCAGGGTACTTGTTCTGATATTCTTTTATCAATTCAATATGGTTGTTGGAATCCTGGGCAGAATCACTACTGAAAAGAATGATGACTAGCTTGACATTCTGCTTTGGGATAAGACATGTATTTTCAAAGTTCTCCATGAATCTCAAGAAAATGTCATACCTTCCAATGAGAGGAACGAGAATGTGTATTTTCTTTTCATTGTGCCCTCCCATTTCTTTGGCACCTTTGAAAGAAGATAATATCTTCAAAGAATTAGATATAAAGGAGAATGACTCTGTTTCGCTGTTAATGCTCTCCACAAGACTGTTGACATCTAGTTCTTCAGTTTCTCTGAAGAAAGGCTTGCTGAACAACTGCTGAAGGTAGGCATGGCGTCTCACGGGCACAGTCACTTTCCTCCCTTTGTGTCTTTTGTATAAGAGGAGTAAATCCAAAATGTACTCCACCCCATGCATGGGATTGACTCTGCGGTAGCCATACTGAATTTCCTTGAAGTCAATGAGCCGTCCTCTACTCTTGGCATTCTCATTGATCATCTCCATCACCTGCAGGATGGTGTCATCCAGTGCAGTTCTCAGAATGCTGTTGATGCTCTGTCGAGGAGGCTGGTTCTCAGCTGCGGAGTAAAGGAGCTTCCCTGTCAGAAACTCCCATTCTATCACTTCGTTTCTCTCCCTAGGTTGGAAATGGTTGAACGAAGGCATCACTCCCAGCTGCTGGTCCTCTTTGCTCACTTCACTGTTACTGAGCTTGCTCATAAGAGCACTCTCTCGGTGGAGCTGGATGGTACGATAGCGAAGTTCAGAGATTTTGCGGCTGAGCATGTAATTATGCAGCCTGTATTGGTAGGCAGGCCTCTTGTTGGGATGAAGTGTTATGGCTGCATGGATTTTGCTGTTGTGAAGGTCTTGGATATAACCTTTCCTATTGTGTTCATAATTTTCATGGAACAATTGTTGCATCTGAAAAGTAAAAAGAAATGAAGACATTAAATTAATTTTTTAAAAAGCACTAACCTAAGACATTTAAATAAAAATATTTAATACAAGTTATTGATATGGTATATTTCATAATAAAATATGGTTGGCAGCATTTATATTTAAAATAAATTAGCATAGTTTTGTTATGTTTTTAAATTGACAGATAAAATTGTATGTACAAGGCATCTTCAAAAAGTTCATAGAAATGTGTAGTATGAAAAAAATCTATACATAAATTTCAAAATTTGTATGCACCAAAATACTCATATTTTAATTGTTTTCCATGAGATTTTTTAAAGTCATGTATGCAACACAATGCTTAGAAGTATATATATATATTGTAGAATGACTATATTTAATTAACACATGCATTACTTCATAAAATTATCATTTTTATGGTGAGAACGCTTAACCTCCACTCTCCCAGTTTTTTTCAATAATAAAATATATTGTTCTTAACTACAGTCATGATATCTACAATAGTTCTCTTGGACTTATTCCTCTTATCCAACTGAAATTTTAAATCCTTTGATCAACATTTCCCAAATCCCCCTTCCAACCATCCCAGCTCCTGATAGCCACCCTTCTATAAATATTCTCTAGTCCTATAAAATCATCTTTTTTAGTTTCCTTATGAATGAGATTATAAATCCTTTCCATAGGCTCAAATACTGCAAATTAACCCCAAGCTTTTTTTTTTTTTTTGGAGAGATTTTCACCGTAGGGCGCGTGCGCTTGCCAGACAGACAGAGAGAGACATAGAGACAGAAAGTGAGAAATCACCCCCCGGGGGGATGGTCATGCCGCAATCCCTTCTCCTCCATTCTCCTCTCGGGATCTTGGGCACGCACGCACATGTGCCTGGCGTGAGTTTTAGGCCACCGGGTCCGGGACGCGAACGGCGGTCAACTACGTGGGAGTCCAGCGACATAGCCATTACGCTAACTGCTGGTTCCCAACCCCAAACTTTTTAAGTAAAGAACCTTTGCCTCCATTCATCCTCAAATCAACCAAACAATATCAAAGGAAACAAAAAATTGAATATGCCCATAATCCCATAACAGATCATCAAGAGGGAGAGAGGTAGAATGGGTGGACCTTGGATTTTTCTAAAATAATAGGCTCATCCTGAGGAGTAAAACAGTGACCTGCAGCTTAGAGTGGAAATAACAGGCTATTTGTCAGAGGAAACCTATGATTTTTTTTAAACATCTTGACATGCCATCATTACATAGTAAATTCTACGTAAACTAAGGTTAAATAAAAATAATATTCAATATCAAAAATTCGGCATACTTGAAATTCTTACAAACCAGAAGAGCTTTCTGCTAGTGTAGAACAAATTTGCTAACACAAGCAGAAAAAAATTAAGAAAAACATACACTTAATAGATAAAAATTCAAACTGCTAGTTGACTTCTCCCCTGTCAGTCAGTCAAGAAACTTCCATTACACTCATTGAAGATGAATATAAGTAAAAAAGAAGAGGAAAGAGAAGGAGGCCGAGATTTTTTTTGGGGGGGAGGAGTGGGCAGCAGGATCCTGAGAAGTCTGCAGATATACTGACAAAGAGAAAGAAATATTGCAAATGAAGGAACACATATCAGAAAGAGATAAAAAATTACAGACATATTAGATAGAGAAAACATAGCCTCTTTAAAAAAAAAACTGTCAAAAATAGATAAATGAGTCTACAGACGAGAAAAAAAAACCTGGCTGTGTTAAAAAAAAAAAAAAAGATTAAAAAAATTGATGGTTATACTGCAAGAAACAGAAAAAGAGATTTCAGGGAAACAGGAAGAAGAGATTTGAGAAAACTTAGGAAAATGGAAATATAAAATAGAACTGAAAGGCTTGGTGATATCTACAAATCTATATATCTCCACATGTGTACATGTATATTTAATTTATATGAATACCTATTGAGGGAGATAAAGATATTTAAAATATGTCTGAGGGATATATTTTCCTTAAAATAGAGAAAGATGTATATCTATGTGCAATTAGTCCAAGAAGGGATAAAAGGGCAAAAATAAACAAGCAAAACCCAGCTTCACTATAAATGATTAAAAAGTGAATCTTGCCACAACATCATAATATTCTCCATAGCAACATTCAATGCTGAAAATCAGTAGAATGATCCCTAGGAAGACCTCAAGGAAGCAAATGAGTGACTCAGGATTTTATGGTCAATCTCATTAGAGCTCATTTATCCCAACCAAGTTAGAGTTTAAATTTGAATTAAAAAAAAAAATCAGCTGCTCCTAACATGTAAAATCTTGTGACAGATTTGTGTCAAAAAGTTCTTTTAGGGAACCAGCAGTTAGCGTAATGGCTATGTCGCTGGACTCCCACGTAGTCGACTGCGGTTCGTGTCCCGGACCCGGTGGCTTAAAAAACTCACGCCGGGCGCATGTGCGTGCGTGCCCAAGATCCCGAGAGGAGAATGGAGGAAAAGGGATTGCGGTGTGACCATCCCCCCTGGGGGGTGATTTCTCACTTTCTGTCTCTATGTCTCTCTCTCTGTCTGTCTGGCGAGCGCACGCGCCCTACAGTGAAAATCTCTCTCAAAAAAAAAAAAAAAAGTTCTTTTACACTCCTTTTATTAAGATATAGGGACTAGTTCTCTTTTTCTCAAATCTGAGTGGTTTTGTGACTGTGGCAACTAGTTGACTAATAGTAGAAGTAGCATTATATCAGTTTCCAGATTGGCTGCCTTTATGAAATGTCTCATCTTTTGGAAATTTCATTCTGCAGAAGCCACCTGCTAAGTAGAAGTCTGAGATAGTTCTCTTGTTTCACTGGCCAGGACCTTCAATAAAATGTGGTGATAAAAGAACCTTTGTTCCAATTCCAGAGTCATGAATGAGGTTGTCCATATCTCAACATCTTAAAGAGGCTTCGTTCTATTTCTAGTTTGCTAAGAGCTTTTACCATGAATAGAGTTTGAAGTTAATTAAATGACTTTTTTCCTTGAATAAACACAATATAATTTTGATACATTAAATTTTTATACATGGTTGGAATACGTGGGATTTACTTTGAGATATCAGTTCTCTCTAGTTTGGTTTATAGACTCAATACAATCCCAATACAAAATCCCACCATATATATATATATATATACACACACACACGCACACACATATATATGTTTATACTGACAAGTTGAGTCTAAAATTTTTGTAGAAATAAACAATATTCAAAAATATTCAAAATCTTAAAGCAGATACACTACAGACCGAAGTTACAGAAATTAATACAGCATGATACTGGTATAAGAGTAAACAAATAGAACCAAATAGAAAGTCCATAAACAAACCTACACATGACTTATGACATTATGTCAAATTAAGAACTCTGTTTCTTTCTTTTAAAAAAATAAGCTATTTTCAGGAACCAGCAGTTAGCGTAATGGCTATGTTGCTGGACTCCCACGTAGTCGACCGCGGGTCGTGTCCTGGACCCGGTGGCTTAAAACTCACGCCGGGCGCGTGTGCGTGCGTGCCCAAGATCCCAAGAGGAGAATAGAGGAGAAGGGATTGCGGCGTGACCATCCTCCCTGGGGGGCGATTTCTCGCTTTCTGTCTCTATGTCTCTTTCTGTCTGTCTGGCGAGCGCACGCGCCCTACAGTGAAAATCTCTCAAAAAAAAAAAAACTATTTTATTTAACTTTATTTATTTTTTTAAATTTGATCAGAGAGGGACAGAGCAAGAGAGAGAGAGAGAATGAGAGAGAGAAAGCAAGCTGCCAGGCCTGGGACTCAAACCATGGTCAACCACATGGGAATCCAACGCCTTTTCCACCACGTAACCTGCCAACCCCAGAACTCTGTTTCTTAAAAACACCATTAAGAAATTATAAGAAGTCAATTACCGAGTGGGAGAGAAAAAATTTTAATATATGATATGGAAAAGAGATCAATGCCCAGAAAAAGTTCATGGAAAATGCATGAATTCCAAAATTTCGTTGAACCAAAGTAAACTTATATTTAAATTCCATTTTCTGAATTGTTTTGAAGTCCTTTCATATAGTAAATTTGTGCAAATCAGAAGGAGGAAGACAAATCCAGTTGAAAGTGGGAAATAAAACTTGAATGAAGACTTCACAAGAGAGATTATACAAATATTCAATAAACATAAAAATACTCTCCACCTCATGCATCATCAGAATAATGCAATCTAACATTACAGTGTAATAACATAATGGCCTTACAAGAATGGCAAAACTAAACAGATTGATAACACCATGCATTGTTAAGGAAGTGGAGGATTTAGAATGCTCATGCACTGCAGTGAGACTGTAGCTTGGCTCAACCACTGGGAAAAACTATATCAACAAAAATAAGTACACACATTTCTTGGGATTTAGTCATTCTACCCTTAGATATATGTCCGAGAGAAATGCATACATACATATCCCTAAAAATATATAAAAAATTTCATAGCTGCATTATTCATAATACCTCAAAACCAAGAGTAACCCAAATGGATAAGAGTAGAGTAGACAAATAAATATATTTATATACTGGAAAACAATGCATCAATTAAAAGAATAAAATGTTACTAGTCTCAGCATGGGTGAATCTCCCGAACAAGTGTGAAAAAAAGGACATAACAAAAGAATTCATATTTGTATTATTCTATTATTCTACTTACTTAAATCTCTGAAACAGAGAGGTTTTCGCTATAGGGTGTGTGTGCTCGCCAGAAAGGCAGAGAGAGACAGAGACAGAAAGCGAGAAATCATGCCCCAGGGGAGATGGCCACACCGCAATCCCTTCTCCTCCATTCTTTCTCAGGATCTTGGGCACAAACGCACACGCACCTGGTGTGAGTTTAAGCCACCGGGTCCAGGGCTCAAAACACGGTCAACTACATGGGAGTCCAGCGACATAGCCATTATGCTAACTGCTGGTCCCACAAGCTAACCTATTCTAATAGCTGTTAGAATAATGATCAAAGTAAAAGAAAAAGAAAGCTT